CAGGTGTGTGTTTTTTTAAGGGCAGGACAGCTGTCAGCAACACATCCAATATCACACACACTGATTGGAGTCAAGGTTGACTCACTCCTGGCTCCAATTAGCTCTGGGGAAAGTCATTAAGCTATGGCCTCACATACTTTTTCCTCCCTGCACTGTGAATGTTTACATGTTATGTGCAATTAAACCATGGCAACATCTTATGTTTGTGTAGTATTATGTTCAGCAGACTGTGTTCTTCTATATTGTTGTGACTTAGATGACGTTCAAAGCACATTTTATGCCCAATTCATGCAAAACTCCACGAAATCCCAACGGGTTCACATACTTTTTCTCTTGCAACTGTATATTGCGGTGTTGTTTGCAATATTTCATAAAAATAATCCCAGTATAGGTGAATGCATAGTTTTATATCAGTATCAAAATGTTGTTCCATTATATTTGATTACACATACATTTTCACATACACAAACAACATGTGCATCTCCTTCCACCCAAGGCGCCTGGACCACCAAGAAAGGTTGTCTTCAAAAAGGCTCTCTGAAAGGTACATCCTCTCAGCCTGGTGAAAAGGGCCCACACAAGTCAATATAAATGCAAAAGCAGCTTTAACCAAGTTGATGCAACTTAGAATGCGGTCAAATGCACTTTAGAAGGAGTTTGGCAGAAGGTCAGCTGCTATTAATGTGACCTTTTAAAGCTTAGTTCCATTTTTCTAACATCTGATGTCCAATGTCGTGCTTCATAGGCTCATCAAGCAAGAAATATGGCTCTGGTCCTCTTCATGGGTAAACGATGGCCACCATCATTCAAACCACTTGCTTTGACACTTGGGTAGAAAGGCTCCAGCCCCCCCCCCCCCCCGCACTGGATTCACAATTTGAATGCTGGAGGGAGAGGAAGCAATTCATTACAACGGTCACAGCTCCTAGAAGTACCTGATTAAGGACCTTCATAGCAGGAAAACCAGAAAATATTTTAGGAAAGCATAATGTACTAAGTTTGAAAACAACTTTTAAAAACTAATATTGTTAAAATGTAAATGGGTTTTTAGTGATTGTGTTTAGAGTTACTATAAAAAGAGCATGTTTTTTTCATTAAGAAATTTATTTTCAACTAAAATTAAATGTGTTTAAATATAATATTGATTTGGGGAGAAAATGTGTAATAAAGAATTTGGCAGTGGATTCTAATAGCAGAGGATACTAATAAAAGGATACAATAGATGAGATCATTCAAGACTGATGAACCCAGAGTAACAGGTTATGTGGGAATCAGTTAAGAGGTGAACATTCATTTTATTATAGCTGTTTCCTGAGCTTAGATTCCATATCATTTTTCTTTCTGTTGTTAGCTTTCCATTTTCTTCTTCTCTGTTTATGGATATTTCCTTTTCTGGGAGATTTACTTTTTACAATATTTGCCTGTTAAAGTGGATCCTAAGACTGATACAGTGATAATTCTTTGTAGGTTAAAGTTTCAACTACATGTATACATTGGAAAGTGATGATAAATCCTCTGAAAAGCAGCAAGTGTGAAAAGGCTCAATCTGGTCCTCTAGAAATAAAGCAATATTTATGCATACATCAGTCTGTACTTCCTATGCACACCAGGAAGGTGGTGCAGTAAGTATGTATGTATGTATGTATGTGTGTGTATATATATATATATATATATATATATAGATACATAAGTAGATATACAGAACATATCAAAAGTATTTCTGATTAAAACACAACCCCTCTACCCCATCCATTCCTCCAGTTCCCCTCCAACCCGTTCACAGACTTTTTAAAAAAATTACCTCTTAATCAGCCTTTTTCTTACCAAGTCTGCCAACCATGTCCCTCGCTAATGCCTCTTCAGTCTGTTGGGTGATACATAACTGCAGTCTGTGTCCGTGCCAACCAATCCCCTCATCATGTCATCTGCTCTTCAGTCTTTTGAATCCTGAAAGACCCCACCGCTGTACATCCAATAGGAAGTGTCCACGTGACACAGGCAGTGATGTGGGCACCCAAAAAAGACCCTCCCATTCCATAGTAAGGAAGAGAGAAGACTCAGGACTCAACAGACATAAATTTATGGGGCTTATTTAGAGGCATTTTTTGGCACAAGAACTGGTCTAGGATAGTTAAAAGAAGCTTCTCTTACCCTCACCAACCATCTGAATTCCATTGCACCTTTACAAACCAAAAAAAAAGACCAACTGTAATTATGCCTTGCCATTTGGCTCCAATACATTTAGCATACATTTCACTAATATTTCTTGATTTTATCCAAAATTCCAGGGAAAATAAGTCTTTTAATTTGCTTATCCCTATGCCCAATATTTGCTTAGGTGGACACAGTGATCCTTTTGAAGCAAGCACGTTTTGATACATTAGCCCATAAAGTCATTCCAGGTCATACTACCTTGCAGCTGACAATGACAGTTAGGCGTTTTTTTTTCTCTGTTTTCTCAGAACAACTATGAAAACATAACGAGTTATCTCTAAAAAATGAAAAATGATTGCACAATAAATGTACAACATGTGTACTTTTTCTACAATATAAACTGAAAAGATTGCTCCTTTTGTTGTTTTGTTTTTGTTGGGTGACCTCCCGTTCCTAAAATTTGTTTCTTTTAATCTTTGCAATTAGCAATCATAACTGATAAACTACTGGTAATTCCTGCAAAGCACTTAATCAGAATTATGTGCGGCAATTTGGGGTCATAGATAAATATGAAGTCATTTGGATACAATTCCCTATTACCACATTAAAAGAGAGTGCACCTTTGATAGATAGAATGTTCTCTTAAAGAGTAACCCTGTGATTAATTCTAATTTTCACAGACCTTTGAATGAGACCTTGTTTGTTAATGTATACTTGTACGTGAGTTGTTTCTTTATCAAAGCAGATGTGACAGTTGTAGAAGAGAGATGGATCTTTGGTCAATGTTCTTTGTGGTTAGTCAGCCAAGTTTCACTTTTTGGAAACGCTGTCCCATTTTTTTCCAACAAAATAGTTCCAAAACGGAACAGTGGATGCCAATAAACATATACGCTGCTCATGTGAAGTCATATAGACCTCTCTTGTTGTTTAACTTTGTCTATACATTATAGACAATGTTTGGATTCACCACAAAGGACCCAGCTGTAGAATAAGCTGCTGGTCATTTTTCTGGATATACCGTACAGATCATTGTGGTTTTAGAAGTATACGTGTTTGATGGGCCAGGTGCATTAGAACATAACTTCATGGATATTCAACAGAAAATGCTTTTTCATAATTACCTAGAGACATCTGGCTTGAACATCTTAGAAAAAGCACAATAAAATAAATATATACATGGTGCAGACAAAATACTTACTGGTGGAAATAAAAATGTCAGATATCATAAGGGTTGTAACCAGACTTTGGTTGAATTGAAGAAGGCTATTTTGTTAGCTGGGCTTGCCATGATGACCAGTTTCCAGCCAACAGAACTAATTATGTTTCCCTTTTAGAAATGAAAACACATATCTGGTATATTTTGCACATTTTTACATATTTTTTCCATCCTTGGCCTGCTTTTGAAGAGCTTTGGATGATTTGGGCTAGTTTTAACCAGTGAATGTTTTTCCTATTACAATAGGAAGTCTTCTGAAATTGAGCATTAAGCTACACCATAATCTCGGACAACTCCACCTAATTTGTCCATACGTGGAAAGAACACATCATTTTTCATGATCACACTCTGTTTTGTGGCTGTGAATTACTAAAATATTTTGTGCCCAGAGGAATAGCTTTATAGTGATATTAAACCCTCAAAAATAATTTAGTGCTGCAGACCTTAGAACTTACTTTGGTTTTTATTTTATTCTGTGGTTTCATAGAGTTACAACCCTTCAAAAACCCTACTGGTTCCTGTCTTCTTCAAGTGGCTCCATCCCTTTACAAGGACCCATTGAGCCACCTTTGTGTGCATGCTCCAAGCTGGCAGTGTGGACAGCCACAAAAAATCCATTGTGACTTCTGGGATTCAGATGGTGGTGATCCTCAAAGGTCCAAGGGCTCAGACTGAAAAAGCAAAGCAAAGCACTGTACACTGCTCAGGGCCGGTCCACTTATCTCTAACCCCAGAAACACAGGTTGGGGTCTGGCTCGAACCACTGAGCATAGACAAATAACAAGTGGATGACCACACACTGATATTACTAAGAACACTGACATGTATTGATAAATAAATAAATCCAAATAGCATTGGACAGAACAAGAGCAAATGTTGGCAAGTTTCATGTCAATTGGCACTTAATCAGAATATGATTAAGCGCCAGTTGGCATGAAACACGTCAACACTTGCTCTTTTTCTGAGCAATTGTATTTGGATTTTTATAAATAAATTTAATGGACCTTAGTGATATCAGTGTGCAGTCATCCACTGTTAATAGACTGAAAAAGCAGATTGGAGACCCATAGGGAGGTCGACTGGGAAAGAGAGGGGAGAGAGGGGGAGAGACAGGAGAGCCTTTATAGTGTGGTGGCTATCTGAGGTAAAGTTATTACCTGAAATAATGTTTATGATTACAAAGAAAATAGCGAAAAATGACTTACATCTGGTGAGCTTGCAGTGCCCCAAGTGAGTAGAAACAGGCAACCTTCTGTTAACGCAAGTGAAGAAAAATCACCTCCACATGGGGTGAGATTGCTCTCGATATCGAAGGGGTCCCAATTCTGGATCCTCTTATGGGTTCTTAGGTGGGTATTGTGCTCCTTTGCCATTTGGTTCACCAACAGGTTTTTGACCTCCTCTCAACCTACATTGTGCCTTTGGCAAGTCAATCTCCTCCCCACTTTCCCCAACTCCTGCGAGTGATTAAAATCAGCTGAGCCTGCGCTGTTCCTAGTTCACTGTGTATGTGAAGCTCTCAGGGAGCACAATCCACTACACAAAAGTGGACCTAGAACTGGCTTCAGTGATCAGGGAAAATATGTACAGTAAGTGTTTGAGCACACTGTGTCATGTAAATCTACCGGGGCCAGGGGCGGACTGACCATTCGAGCACTTGGGCACTGTCCAAGGGCCCGGGTTCAGTAGGGGGCCCCATGCGATGCCCCTGGTACCTTTTTATAGGCTTTTTTTGTGTGATTTGAGTGTGGGCAAGGACACAGGGGCCCCATGATCCCCTATTGCCCGGGGGCCCCATGAGTTGTCAGTCCGCCCCTGACTGGGGCATGTATTACCCTGATGCTGAGAATAAATCAAAGTGAAACAAATGTTAAGCATTTCATATTACTTAAAAAAAACATGAATTCCCATTTCTATCATTAAAGTTCAACTTCAGGCAGATACAAAAATTGGACACAAATGAATGCAGCTCTGTCTTTATTAACAGACCACTAAATGTATTTTTTAAATGCAAACATTATAAGTACCTGAATTTGACCTGATATCTGCCTCTTTTACAGAGGAGCTTAGACTGGGAAAGGGAGAAGCAGTACAAGGAGCCAATCACTTGCGCTGCAGCGCCCATGTATTCAGCTGTTTGCCAGAACTTCAGCTATACAACCTTAATGCCCAGTACACACCATGAGAAAACCAGATGCATGTTTAATTAGTACAGTATTTGTCCATAAAAAAATTAAGTGACCAAGACCGCACATGCTCGAAAATGAAAGAATACATAACAATACAATATATTACTTCAGCGCACAAATTTGTATACTGTTTTATGAGAATTTTCTTAACTCTAGTAACCTATTCGTTTTCAATATAAAACTAGCATGCAAAAAAAAAAAAAACCCACAATCATTCGTCCGATATATTCATCCTGTGTACCAGGTTTAAGGATTGTATATGCTCTTTGTACTTTACTTAGTATCATATAATTGCTAATGCATGCATGATACACAAGTAAATACAAGATAAATCCCGGTATACTGTATGTGCTGCCACCTTTTGTTTCTCATGAGGTAGCTTGGGAATAAACAAACAATTCAGTCAACTACCTGACTGAAAATGAGAAAGATCTGAGTGTCTGCATAATCAGCAATGGGAGAGGAGTTTAATTTTTAAAAGTATATGTAAACCCTAACAAAAAACTTCTCTTTTTTGCTGTCTTTTGGTCTACTAAACAAACCATTGAATTTGTTTTTGTTATTACTGTTCAATAACTGCAAAAAATACCTATTAAATTTGGCATAAATCTTATGCACTGATAACTCTATGAAGTAGGCAGGGCTGACAACAGGACAATAGGAATTCAGAGCCTCAGATGCCTCTATCCCTTTGATAACATGCATGTGCATGAAACACGTCAGTGAGGAGCCTGCCATACTGACGTCACGCCGCCGTGTGACGTCAGGCCATCTTTGTGAGTGTTTTGCCATTTCTCTGTTTCCCACATGGATGTTTCATCTATTCAGATAAAAATTACTACTACACCATAAGAGCTCCTTTTGTGGCTCGTTTTTGAGAGTTATTTTCCCTAAGGTGGACTGTGTTTCTCTGCTGGTTCTGTCCATGGTGGAGAGGTCTGCTGGAGTGATCCCTGTAATGCAGTGAGAGGCCAATGACGTTCTTCTTGTTTCCATACCACCAACATTTTCAATACCTGTGAAGGAGTGGGGTATATTATTATGCGCATTTAATATGCGCTTTTGGTACATTCAAAAGCAGTATCTGTCACGGAGTCACCTTTCACCTGTTCATCACTTCTTGGACGTTTTATTGATATTCATCTGGATGATTTTATTTTATTTATTTATTTATATATTGGACTGTTCATCATTGTCACTTTATATCAATAACTCTGATATCACTTTCTCGCCATTTCTAGAGCGCCTCACATACAGTTTTGAATTGTCACTATTATCACTTTATTTACTAGCACTTTTGGTATTAATATTTTTATAGCGCTGCATCTTACGTTTTATAGGGTCCCGGACAGTAATTACCCACCGGCGCCTGGTAATTACCGACAATCATCGGCGGGGAGGAAGACTCCCTATCAGCTTGAGCACACTGCTCTGGATGGCTTGCACAGCACAGCCATCCCGAACAGTGTGCTTGCAGTGAAGCACACCCCCCCCGAACCCTAGTAAAACACTCCCTACATATAGTTAACCTTTTGATCACCTCTCATGTTAACCCCTTCCTGCCTAGTGCCCTTAGTACAGTGTCAGTGCTTTTTTTTTAGCACTGATCATTGTATTGGTGTCACTGGGGTGTCAGTGACAACAAATTAGTTCTCCCTCAGTGTCAGAATGTCCGCCGCAGTCCTGCTAAAAGTCACTGATCGCCGCCATTACTAGTGGAAAAAAAAATCCCAGTATCTATACCACCGTTTGTAAATGCTATAACTTTCACGTAAACCAATTAATTTGCACGTATTGGTATTTTTTTCGAGCAAAGACATGTTGCAAAATACATTTTGGCCTAAACTTATGACGAAATTTGATTTCTTAAATTTTTTTTACTGGAATTGTTTAATAGCAAACAGTCCAAAAATAGTTTTTTTCTCAAAATTGTTGGTCTTTTTTTATAGCGTAAAAAAGAAAAAACTCACAGGCGATCAAATACCACCAAAAGAAAGCTCAATTCATAGGAAAAGAAGGACGTAAATTCTATTTGGTTGCAGTGTTGCATGACAGTGCAATTGTCATTTAAAATAATGCAGCTCCGTAACGCAAAAAATGGCCTGGTCAGGAAGGGGGGTAAATTCTCAGGAGAGCAAGTGGTTAATATATACAGTATTTTACCCTCACATACTCTTTAAGTCAAAGTTATGTTATATTTTCCCAGTAATGAATAAATGAGGTAGATGCAGCAAAGGAAAATATTTGTTGTATGTTCTTACTTGGCTATATTCCTTCTTTTGATCTGAGAACAGGTGCACTTTAAAATAGAAGTTCAGACTATAACTAACTATGCTTAAACCTGATACCACCACCCCTTCAAAATCCTATTCTGGCTACCCTGTGAATGGAAGATGCTTATACTTACCTATTCTCAGTGCACTGTGGTCCGGTCATGTGATCGACTCTCAGGTGGCTTCAGGGGAGAGGAGGGACAGCCAACAGCTGAAGCCCCATAGAAAGCCTATGGGTGGAATCACTGCCTAGGCATTGCCTCTATCCCTCCCCGCTGGGGAGATCATGTGACCAGTCCAGAGCGCTCTGTGACTAGGTAAGTATAAGCATCTTCCTTTCCTAAGTTATAAAAGGATTTAGAAGTGGGTGGGAGCAGGTTTAGGCTTAGTTAGCAATAGTCTGTTCTTCAACTTTAAGGGCATGCAGGGATCAGATAACAAAGAAGAACTAATGTACTCATACCACCTTGTGCCTGCATATACAGTATCATGCTAAAGAAATGAATTCTGGTTATCCCGGGTAGAGGAGACAACGGTATTGTGATGTGTGGAGTGCTCCTTCATTGAAGACTTCATGGCAAAACAAATATTAAAACAGATACACATGAAAAATAATAAATTGAATGAAATTTAATCTAGGGTTTTTCTTGGTTTATACTGCCAAATTCAAATAACCTGTCTCTTTTACGGGTCTGTATTTTGCTGTTTTGCCTTCTTTATAAAAGTGTTGACAGCCTGACAGCCATAATCAAAACGAGGATTAAAGTATAAGGATAATTCCACTTTCCTGGAAAAAATAGCAAATGAATAACATATACAATAGCTAAACTGCTGTGAAAAAATATTTGCCCCTTCCTGATTTTTTTTTTTGCATATTTGTTTCAGTTAAATGATTCAGATCATCAAATTTTAATATTACACAAAGATAACCCGAGTAAATACAAATTGCAGTGTTTAAATGATGATTTTATTTATTAAGGGAAAAAAGCTGTCTAAACCTGCCTGGCCCTTAAAGTAATTGCCCCTTAAACCTAATAACTGGTCTTGCCACCCTTGATGGCAACAACTGCAATCAAGCATTTGCGATAACTGGCAATGAGTCTGTCACATCGCTGTGGAGGAATTATGGCCCACTCTTCTTTGCAGAATTGTTTTAATTAAACCACATTGAAGAGTTTTCGAGCACGAACAGCCTGTTTAAGGTCAAGCCACAGCATTTCAATTAGATTTAAGTCTGGACTTTGACTAGGCCACTCCAAAACCTTAATTTTGTGTTTTTGAAACCATTCAAAAGTGGACTTGCTGGTGTGTTTCAGATCTATGTCTTGCTGAATTGCCCAAGTGTGCTTGAGCTTGAGTTGATGGCCAGACATTTTGAAAGAACACAGAATTTGTGGTTCCATTAATTATAACAAGTCGTCCAAGTCCTGAAACTGCAAAGCAGCTCTAGACCATCACACTACTTTTTATGAAATGCTGTGTTAGTTTTACACCAGATGTAACAGGACACACACCTTACAAACAGTTCAACGTTTGTCTCATCAGTCCCCAGAATATTTGCCCAAATGTCTTTGGGATACACAAGATGCTTTTTGGCAAATGTGAGAAGAGCCTCTGTGTTCTTTTTGGTCAGCAGTGGCTTTCACCTTGGAACTCTCCCATGAATGTAATTTTTGTCCAGTCTCTTTCTTACTGTTAAATCATGAACACTGACCTTGACTGAAGCAAGTTAGGCCTTTAGTTTTTAGATGTAGTTCTGGGTTCTTCTACGACCTCCTGGATGCTCATTGTTGTTGTGCTTTTGGAGTAATTTTGGTAGGCCGGCCACTGCTAGAAAGGTTCACCACCAGGGCGGACTGACAACTCATGGGGCCCCCCGGGCAATAGGGGATCATGGGGCCCCTGTGTCCTTGCCCAAACTCAAAAAAGCCTATGAAAAAGGTACCAGGGACATCTCATGGGGCCCCCTACTGACCCCAGGCCCTCGGGCAGTGCCCGAGTTTCCAAATGGTCAGTCTGCCCCTGTTCACCACTGTTTCACGTTTTTCTCATTCATGGATAATAGCTCTCACCATGGTTCACTGGAATCCCAAAGCCTTAGCAATGGCTTTGTAAGCCTTTCCAGACCAGAGTTGCCAAACTGTCCATAAATGTCCATTTTTGGACGGCGCCATCCGTAAAAAATCCTTTCAGCTGATTTTGCATGCGTGCAGTTCCGAAGCCAACTTGGGATAGGGCAAATGCCTCAGCCACTCGCAGGCACTTGGAGTCTCTTGGTTTCAGGGACTGTCTGTCAATGGCAGTGCCAGCCCAGATAGAAGGAACTACATACTACTGCAGAGGAGAGGAGGCATGGGCACAGCAGCCAAGCACAGGCAGTAGTGAAATTTTAACTGTATCATGCCCGCAACCTCTAATCATTTCCTGTACCATTTCCGCAGCCTCTAACCATCTCCTGTATCATGCACACAGTCTCTAACCATCTCCTGTACCATGCCCGCAGCCTCCAACCAATTCTTGTACAATTAGAGAAAAACAAAACAGAGGGCTCAGCGGCCTTGTGCATTACCTTTAAAAGTATGTTTATTAAATATTAAAAAAGGTATTTTACTCACAACAGTACATAAATGCAAGGATCATTATAAGGGACCGCTCTGTCCAATTCGCACTGTGTTTCTGAATGGTAATGAGAATGATGTACATCCAGAAATCTGATGCGTTTCGAGCCTCTGAGGAAAAGGCTATTCCTCGAAACGCGTCAGATTTGGATGTCAATCATTATCCTTACCATTCAGAAACGCATTGCGAATTGGACAGAGCGGTCTTGCTATCTGTGGGTGGTTGGTTTGGTTTGCTTGCACTGTATTATGTTTTAGTATTGCACTGCGTTTATGTTTGTATTGTTAGTGTTAATAAATTATATTGTTTATCACATATCTGAAGTCTGCGTTTCCCTGCGTCAGTCACACACCTCTGGACATACCCGGGAGCCCTGACATTACACCAAGGCCAATCCTGACCAGAAGTGGCTGCACAGGGAAGCCATCTTGGCTTGTTGCTGGGAAAGATGGCTCTTGATGAGGTTGTTGTATTTATATCTGCTTGTGTTTGATGACAGAGAGTATGCTTATCAAACTCTGAAGGAGTATCCCAGGGATGAACTGCTAGAATGTATACGGCTCGCTCATGTTCTAGTAGATCAGGGCACAGAGTTCTCTGAGGTACAACCTTTGATTGAGGTTTGTGCGGAGTTGGTTTCATCTGGTACCCCTGAATGCAGGGATGATTTTTTGCCGCCATTTAGTGCCGACCAGGTAGAGTCTCTGGTATGGTTATTAGAGGATGATGTGGATTCCTTTCTGGAGCGTTATTCTACATGTTCACCACAGACACTAAGAGATTGTATAAACGCAGTGCAGTCTTTGGTCAGACAGGCTTTGTGTAAGCTCAGCGTTGTTCAACCCATACTGCAGACATGGACAGACTTGTTGCACCCAGCCTCAGTCAGCTTACAAAAACCCAGTCCTGCTTCTAATCTATTTCCTCAAAGCTCTATTCCTGCATTCCCAACAGCTCCTCCTGCCCTGCTATCTACCGCATGTCAGTACCCCGTTCCCACTCGCTGCACCTATCCTGCCTTTAACCCTGTAAAGAAGTCCTCTGTAGCAACTGTTCACTCCCCTGTTCCATCCTCCAGCTCTTCTCTGTCTCCAGCTGCTCCATTCGTTTGCAGACCTGCGTTTACTTGCAGTGCTCCAGTAGTTAAAACCAGAAAAAAGCGAAAATTCTTTCCAACCAATACCATCCTGCCAGTATCCAAACCGGTGAGCCTGCCGTCTGAGAACTTGCCTTCCGTGGTTCAGCCTGATGCCTCTACTCAGCCTGATGCCTCTACTCAGCTGATGCCTCTACTCAGCTTGGTGCCTCTACTCAGCCTGGTGCCTCTACTCAGCCTGGTGCCTCCACTCAGCCTGATGATGATCCTATTAGGCCAGTTGACGCGATACCCGCTGTTGATCCAGACGATCCGGTACCTGATCCAGTGCCCGCTGTCGTGCCAATTGACTCAGAGCCCGCTGTCGTAACTGGTGACTCGGTGCCCACTGCCTTGCCAGATGACGCGGTGCCCGCTGGCGAGCCAAATGACCTGATGCCTGGTGACCCAGTGCCCGCTGTCATACCTGGTGACCCGATGCCCGCTGTCAAGCCAGACGATCCAATGCCTGGTGACCCGGTGCCCGCTGTTGTGCCAATTGACTCAGAGCCCGCTGTCGTACCTGGGGACTTGGTGCCCACTGCCTTGCCAGATGACGCGGTGCCCGCTGGCGAGCCAAATGACCTGATGCCTGGTGACCCAGTGCCCACTGTCATACCTGGTGACCCGATGCCCGCTGTCGAGCCAGACAATCCGGTACCTGATGACCCGGTGCCCGCTGTCGTGCCTGTTGACTCGGAGCCCACTGCCTTGCCAGATGACACGGTGCCCGCTGTCGAGCCAAATGACCTGATGCCTGGTGACCCAATGCCCGCTGTCCAGCCAGACGATTCAATGCCTGCCCCAGTGCCCGCGGTCATGCCAGTTGACTCGGAGCCCACTGCCTTGCCAGATGACGCGGTGCTCGCTGTCGAGCCAAATGACTTGATGCCTGGTGACCCGATGCCTGTTGTCCAGTCAGACGATCCAATGTCTGACCCAGTGCCCGCGGTCATACCAGTTGACTCGGAGCCCACTGCCTTGCCAGATGACGCGGTGCCCGCTGTCGAGCCAAATGACCTGATGCCTGGTGACCCAGTGCCCGCTGTCATACCTGGTGACCCGATGCCCGCTGTCGAGCCAGACGATCCAATGCCTGGTGACCCGGTGCCCACTGCCTTGCCAGATGACGCGGTGCCCGCTGGCAAGCCAAATGACCTGATGCCTGGTGACCCAGTGGCCGCTGTCATGCCAGTTGACTCGGAGCCCACTGTCGTGCCTGGTGACTCGGTGCCCGCCGCTTCGCCTGGGGGCCCGAGACCTGTCGCTCCGCCTGAGGGGCCGAGACCTGTCGCTCCGCCTGGGGGTCCGGCGCCCGCCGCTCCGCCTGAGGGCCCGAGACCCGTCGCTCCGCCTGGGGGTCCGGCGCCCGCCGCTCCGCCTGAGGGCTCGAGACCTGTCGCTCCGCCTGGGGGTCCGGCGCCCGCCGCTCCGCCTGGGGGCCCGAGACCCGTCGCTCCGCCTGGGGGTCCGGCGCCCGCCGCTCCGCCTGGGGGCCCGAGACCCGTCGCTCCGCCTGGGGGTCCGGCGCCCGCCGCTCCGCCTGGGGGCCCGAGACCCGTCGCTCCGCCTGGGGGTCCGGCGCCCGCCGCTCCGCCTGAGGGCCCGAGACCTTGTCGCTCCACCTGGGGGTCCGGGGCCTGCCGCTCCGCCTGAGGGCCCGAGACCTGTCGCTCCGCCTGGGGGTCCGGCGCCCGCCGCTCCGCCTGGGGCCCGATGCCTGTCGCTCCGCCTGGGGGTCCGATGCGCCCGCCGCTGCCCCGCCTGGGGGCCCGATGCCTGTTGCCCCGCCGCCCGGCGCCCGCCGCCCGCCTGGGGCCCGATGCCTGACCCCCCCCTTGGGGTCCGATGCCCGTCGCCCCCACCTGGGGGCCCGATGCCTGTCGCCCCGCCTGGGGGCCCGGTGCCTGTCGCCCCGCCTGGGGGCCCGGTGCTGCTGCTCTCGCCTGGTGGCTCGGTGCCTGCTGCTCCGCCTGGTAATCCGATGTGCCTCTGCCCAGAGTCCAGCCCGATGTGCCTCTGCCCGGAGTCCAGCCCGATGTGCCTCTGCCCGGAGTCCTGCCCGATGTGCCTCTGCCCAGAGTCCAGCCCGATGTGTGCCTCTGCCCGGAGTCCAGCCCGATGTGCCTCTGCCCGGAGTCCAGCCCGATGTGCCTCTGCCCGGAGTCCAGCCCGATGTGCCTCTGCCCGGAGTCCAGCCCGATGTGCCTCTGCCCGGAGTCCAGCCCGATGTGCCTCTGCCCGGAGTCCAGCCCGATGTGCCTCTGCCCGGAGTCCTGCCCGATGTGCCTCTGCCCGGAGTCCAGCCCGATGTGCCTCTGCCCGATGTGCCTCTGCCCGGAGTCCAGCCCGATGTGCCTCTGCCCGATGTGCCTCTGCCTGGTGTGCCGCTGCCCGGAGTCCTGCCCGGTTTGCCAGTCTTTGATATCCCGCCAGTTACCAGACCCGGGGCGGTGGAACATTTTGCCCAGCTAGGACTGTTTGGAGCGTCCTGAGGCCGCTCCTTGAGGGGGGGGGTACTGTCAGGAATGGACTGGCCAGCAATGGTGGGACTCACCTGCCTTTTGATCTGCAGTACCAGGGCTGGCCAGCGGGTGCTCCCAGCAATCAGAGACTCAACCTTTCAGCCAGCTAACACCTGGAACTGATTATACTGGTGTATTTAAGGGATGGCCAGACCTGCAGACTCTGCCTTGGTGTTGTGTTTGTCCTGGGCCCTGTATCTGTCCTGCATCCTGTTTCTGTTCCTTTGCTGACCCTGCCTGATCTGAACCGCTGCTGACTTCTCCTGCTCTGATCCCGGCTCGCTCCTGACCATCCCTCTGCCTGACCCTCTGTACCACGCTGCTTGCTACCTGTTCTGATCCCTTGGCTTGTGACCCTGACCATCCCTCTGCCTGACCCTCTGTACCACGCTGCTTGCTACCTGTTCTGATCCCTGGCTTGTGACCCTGACCATCCCTCTGCCTGACCCTCTGTACTACGCTGCTTGCTACCTGCTGAACCTGGCCTGTGACCCCGACCAATCTCCGCTTGCTCCCCCTGTACCTACCTGCCCTATTGATATTGACCCGGCCTGCCTGACCGACGCTTGCTTGTATGTACTGTTATCTGTGGGTGGTTGGTTTGGTTTGCTTGCACTGTATTATGTTTTAGTATTGCACTGCGTTTATGTTTGTATTGTTAGTGTTAATAAATTATATTGTTTATCACATATCTGAAGTCTGCGTTTCCCTGCGTCAGTCACACACCTCTGGTCATACCCGGGAGCCCTGACAGGTCCCTTATGATGTGCCTTGTATTTACTTTACTCACTGTTGTGAGTAGAATACCTTTTTTTTAATATTTAATAAACATACTTATAAAGGTAATGCACAAGGCCGGTGCGCCTTCTGTTTTGTTTTTCTCCACTAGTACTTTTGGACTCCCTGGTTCTTTGGGCAGCAAGGCGTGCACATTCCAAGATTTTCGTTGTGTGGTACCTATGACATAGCGTCCATCCCTAAGCGCAGGAGTATCTGGGTTTTTCCACTATCACAATTCTTGTACAATGTCCACAGCTTCTAAGAGTCTCCAGTATCATGTCCGCAGCCCCTAACCATCTCCTGTAGTATATCCGCAGCCACTATCCACCTCCTGTAGTATGTCCGCAGACTCTAACCATCTCCTATAGAATGTCTGTAGCCTCTAACCATCTCCTGTAGGATCTCCACAGCCTTCTACCATCTCCTGTACCATGTCTGGAGCCTTTAACCATCTCCTGTAGTATGCCCTGTAATATTGTATTTATGTCTGCAGTCTCTAACCATCTATTGTATCATGTCCTCAGTCTCTGACTATCTCTGGTATCATGCCTGCTATCTCTGACCATCTCTTGTATCATGTCTGCAGTCTCTGAGGAGAAGCCTGGATAGAGTCAAGAGCGGGCGGTCATAGGAGGAATCAGACGTGTGTGGACTGTGGAGAAGAGAAGATAAGGTGAAATCAGAACCACCAACTGGAACCCAGAGAGGACCATCTGACTGAGCCCTGCACAGGGCACATGAGAGGAGGTCAGTGACAGCACTTGCAGGCCAGTCTGAGGGGAGGGTCACTGATGTAAGGGGGGAGTGAAGACAGTAAGATAGGGGAAGACACTGGTAAAAATGTTCACCCTTATATCAGTAACCCCCCCCCCCCTGCCCTTACCTTAGTGTATTCACTTTGTGGAAGGTGGTTTGTTGCAGCAGTTTTCACTGGAACAGGTGGTGAGGGAAAACACTCGCACAGGGACACCAGTCCAACTGAAAACTGCTGCAAGCTCCTTTAACAAATTGTTAGTTTAACAATTAATTAGCATTACTATCTCTTTGGTAACTGCTATGTCAGTTAATGATGTCTCTGTGCTCCAGCTGGGGAGATTCACCCTCTTTAACATTCCAACAAATGCAGTACAGGAATTGAGCGGACCAGGACTTAATCCTGGGATTTCCCCTTAATTTCTGTGTTTAATTGTCTACCAGACTGAAATTGAAGGCAAATCTCTCCTGTTGGACACAGGTGACAAAATTGCTGGATTATATTAACCTGACCTTCATGAAAATAGAGAAATGTGGTTTTTGACTTTTCTTATAACTTGATAGCATTAGCAATATATTTATAGCTTAAATAATGATGTAGCACTACCTCCTTAAGATTTGCTTAGTTGTTTTTTTGGGTTCCCTGTCAATCTGGACCTTTTGTTGAAAGCCCAACCTTTGCTGACACCACTGTGCTCGTGTGACCAAGATAAATCACAACTGTAAAATGGACTCACACGCAAGTTAGTATAAACCAATATGAAGTTTATATTGGAATTAAAGGTAACTTGGTCAAAAAGAACACAATAACACTAATATTTGTAGCAAATATAATCACTCTTGGCAGTTGTGAGCAAAAGTAACAACATTCACAGTAAAGTAACAATAATTGTTTGCAGGCCTTCTTTCAGAAATAACCCAGTGCCTCCAATCTGAGGGAACTGTTAAAGTGAGCAGGAACAACTATCAAGAAACAGGTAAGCTCATTGTGGGTCCGCAGAACTAGATGACAAGGATTAGATGTGAAGTAAAGAGAATTCTCATTTAAAGTTGAGCAATGTCCCTGTAAAGCACTATTGTGTCTTCTGCGCGTTTTGTTGGTGCCCAGTTGGTATAAATTTGAGTTGAAGTATAAAATCTAGTTCCTTCGGATGGTAACCCAAAGACAGTGAAGGAAAAAAGGGAGATTTAACACTTTTCCTCTTGGTGGTAACAAATTAGGGCATTAAGGCACTAAACATAGGGCAGGATTGAAATAATGAATGGCAACAAGTGTCTATAGACAAAGACAACTCCCTCTGAATATCAAGGGCAAAATTAACAGCTGTAGTCTGCTTTGTTGAAGAAGAGAAATATGTTGTTTTCATCTGGCACTGTTGTATCCTGGCCTGAAACTGTATGTCCTGCTTAAACAATAAACTGTAATGCAGATGTATCCCAATGATGGTGGCTAGGAGAACTAGACCACAAACTGGTGCAACTATATGTAATGTTCACAACTATGTGTAGATAGATAGCTGAGGTAGCAAACTGTCTGTATTTACTTGGTTAGTTGGTGCATGGGTCTCTCTCCCGATCAAAGTAGTCCAGCAGATCATAGTGGTCTGTCTTTCACTACAGACCTGGTAAGTCCACGGACTCTCCGGCTCAGACTCAGGGACCTGTCTGGTCTCCTGCTGTCAGGTTGGCCTGCTGGGCAGCGTGGCAGACCGGTTGATTCAACAGGTCTGGTAGTAATCAGACCTGGGTGTGGCAAGTGAAATGTAACTCAGCTTTCCAAAACATGTGGTTACTCACAGTTTATTCATGATTTAGCAACGGGGGGGGATTACTTTTTCACATAGGGCCAGGCAGGTTTGGCCAGCTTTTTTCCCTTAATAAATAAAATCATTTAAAAACTGAATTTTTTATTTACTTGGGATTATCTCTGTGTAATATTAAAATTAGTTTGATTATCTGAATCATTTAAGTGTGATAAATATGCAAAAAAAAAAAAAAAAAAATCAGGAAGGGGTCAAATACTTTTTCACAGCACTGTACAGTGGTGTTATAAAAATTACCTTTCCTGTTTGATCCATAATTACCTGTTAAAGTCAATACAATATATCCACATGGATTTCTTCTGTACATTGCTGGTGTATAGAGCAAACTCAGAAATGTGATTTCTTGCTTGTGTGTGTAGCACTACCCCCTTCGGAGTCACCGAAGATTTGGGTCTCCCTATAGTCCTGCACAGCCAAGAAACACACATTTTCCACAGACTTGCATTCCAGAGATAGTAAACAGTCCTTGAGCTTGTTTTTTATATTTATTTTTATTAGGGATGTTGAATTTGGATGGGGTAAGAGGTGTATGGGATGCCCAAGGGAACTGTGAACTGAGGACAACTTCCTGGCAACTATGTACAAGCCTTTTTACAGCAAAACATTCTTTCTTGGAGAGCTCTCCAGCCTCTCCTAGTGTACCACACCTATTCTCACCCAGCTATCTGGAGGAAATCCTGGGCAAGGGGATCCAGTGCCTTCCACATTAACTTGAAACAGTCCCAGGTAAGGTCAGATTTCCAACTAGAATGCCCTCTCCCGTTAATTGGCCCAGGGGGTGTAGGATTACTCACTCTTCCTCTCCTGTGTTCTTGTTGGGTTGGTGGCTGCCTTCAGGTCTTCTGCTCGGCTGGGTCCTTGATGCACAGGTGGTCCTCAGGGACTCCTGAGGTTGAGTGAACCTCCTTTCCAGCAACTCTCCGTGGAAGTTGCCCCTTCCCACTGAACCCCCTCTCAGGCTCCTGGATCTCAGCCTTTCACTTCATCTTCCACCCAAATTCTCATGCTTCTGTGTAGGTTCAGTCACTCTTAAGGGATGTCCTCTTCCTCTCC